TATAAATCAGAGGCAAAAGCTGATCATTCCTCTTTCTATATACAATACCAAATATAACAATTTTTCATTTGAGAAATGTTGAGGGGGGAAAATACAGATCTTGATTAAATAATGTCCTTCAGCTTCTGAAACGTACTATTACATTTAAGGCCAGAACCTAGGACACAGATTAATAATGCAAATATAGCCTTAACATTATTATACACAATTATACACAAAGTTTATTGTGTAGTTAACTCTAATGAAAATAGTATTAAACTAAAGAGATAAAACAAATTTGATAGAAAAGCTAAAGAACATATTTTTGTTATCTTTATAAAAATAGTCAAACCACTTAATAAAATAGAAAAAAAAAAGAATTCCATTCATGAATAAATACTGATTCTAAAGTGTAATATGAATGGAAGATTCTGGAAGCTCTCTTTTCTTTTTGAAATGCCTCTTCTTAGAGATCATGCCTTTCCTAAAGATAAGTTTAAAAAAAAAAAAAGCATTACCAAAATTCAAACAAACTGCTCAAATGTATAAAATCCCTACAAACTCAGAATGACTAGAAAATGCAGTGACAAAAGCAGCTGAGTTTCTAGGAATTCATAATATCTGGCGATTGCATGGCAAAGGGAAATTCCACAAAACTCATACCAACCTCCTTTTTTGTCTTCCTGATTTCCGACTTGGGCACTAAGAAAGTGTGAGCTTCATTCTAGTCTCTAGCGTTTATCTTCTCTATCACCTGACAGAAACATTTCCACCACTGTAATACATGTTTTCAGCTTGCATTGACATTTATAGTCCAAAAAAGGCATATGTGAAATTTTCAAACAATTCAGGTCTATTCTTGTATGCTTGAAAGTGAAAGTTGCTCAGTTGTGTCTGACTCTTTGTGACCCCATGGACTATACAGTCCATGGAATTCTCCAGGCCAGAATACTGGAGTGGGTAGCCTTTCCCTTCTCCAGGGGATTTTCCCAACTCAGGGATCAAACTCAGGTTTCCCACATTGCAGTCAGATTCTTTACCAGCTGAGCCACCAGGAAAGCTTGAGTGGAGTCTAAAATCTTTTGTTAATTGAACAAAAAGAATCTATGCACTTAAGAGTTTTTTCTGCTTCCACTGGGTCATACACTAGGCTACTCATTTCAGAAAGTTTAGAAATTCAACAATCCTCTCCCCCACATCTCTGTGTCTCATCTCTACCATATGTCTCTATCCTGATCTCCAACATGTTTTGTATTCTCATTTAGAATGAATTCTGTATTTTCATTTAGAAGAATGAAAATGTTGTGGAGTGTATGACCTATTGTTTATAATTTTTCACAAAAAATTATAGTCCTGATCTCTGCAAAGCTTTGGTTTCATCATTTCCAAACTGTTTTTCATGTACATTAACAATCATACAGCCTCTTCCCACATAAAATTCAACATGTTTATAAACTATACTAAACCTTCTCTTAAAAAGCTTTCTTTCTAATTTTGCTAGGTTTGTGAATGGGACCCTAATTTTAATCTCAATTTTAGATTGAGATTAAATCAATCAAAAACTTGGAAGTCATTTGTTACGCAACCCTATATCCAGTCAATCACAAGTTCAACTGATTTTTCATTTGAAATGCACATTTCCTGTTCATGTCTTCATTCCTACTTCCACAGACTTCTATCCACACTTCAATTACAAGTCATATGATATACCAATCTTTTTATACATTTTGCATCCCTTCTCACGCTCATGATCTCAGTATCTGTCACATTAAGACTAAAGTTTTCCAGGATGGGGAATACATGTAAATCCATGGCTGATTCATGTCAATGTATGACAGAAACCACTACAATACTGTAAAGTAATTAGCCTCCAACTAATAAAAATAAGTGGAAAAAAAAAAGACTAGAGTTTTCTGCCTGAGTTTACACTGTATTCTGTGCAGCAGTGCTCCAAGAATAATCATTCCACAAAGAATACGACATGAATGGCCATCTGGATTTGTAAAATCCAACAACCCTGGGGTCATTTTCCATAAACTAGGTGCTCTGCTAAATTTAGTTTATCTTAATAACAACTTATAATGTATTATTATCCCTACTTTACAAATGAGAAAGTTAAGCATGATTAATGAGTTGGCCCACACATTAGGAGATGACAGGACCCGGGTTCAACATCATCATGCAAGCCTTCCCCACAGTAAGTTCAGTTCAGTTCAGTCACTCAGTTGTGTCTGACTCTTTCCCACCCCACGAACTCCAGCGCCAGGCCTAGTGTCCATCACCAACTCGCGGAGTTCACCCAAACCCATGTCCATTGAGTGGGTGATGCCATTCAACCATCTCAACCTCTGTCGTCCCCTTCTACTCCTGCCCTCAATCTTTCCCAGCATCAGGGTCTTTTCAAATGAGTCATCTCTTTGCATCAGGTGGCCAAAATATTGGATTTTCAGCTTCAACATCAGTCCTTCTAATGAATATTCAGGACTGATTTCCTTTAGGATGGACTGGTTGGATCTCCTTGCAGTCCAAGGGACTCTCAAGAGTCTTCTCCAATACCACAGCTCAAAAGCATCAATTCTTCGGCACTCAGCTTTCTTTGTAGTCCAACTCTCACATCCACACATGACCACTGGAAAAACCATAGCCTTGACAGATGGACCTTTGTTGGCAAAGTAATGTCTCTGTTTTTCAATATGCTATTTAGGTTGGTCACAACTTTCCTTCCAAGCAGTAAGCATCTTTTAATTTCACGACTGCAATCACCATCTGCAGTGATTTTGGAGCCCAGAAAAATAAAATCAGCCACTATTTCCCCATCTATTTGCCATGAAGTGATGGGACCAGATGCCATGATCTTAGTTTTCTGAATGTTGAGCTTTCAGCCAACTTTTTCACTCTCCTCTTTCACTTTCATCAAGAGGTTCTTTAGTTCTTCTTCACTGTCTGCCATAAGAGTAGTATCATCTGCATATCTGAGGTTATTGATATTTCTCCCAGCAATCTTGATTCCAGCCTGTGCCTCTTCCAGCTCAGCATTTCTCATGATGTACTCCGCATGTAAGTTAAATTAGCAGGGTGAAAATATACAGTCTTGATGTACTCCTTTTCCTATTTGGAAACAGCCTGCTGTTCCATGTCCAGTTCTAGCTGTTGCTTCCTGACCTGCATACAGGTTTCTCAAGAGGCAGGTCAGGTGGTCTCGTATTCCCATCTCTTTCAGAATTTTCCACAGTTTATTGTGATCCACACAGTCAAAGGCTTTGGCATAGGCAATAAAGCAGAAACAGATGTTTTTCTGGAACTCTCCTGCTTTTTTGATGATCTTTTTGATCTCTGGTTCCTCTGCCTTTTCTAAAACCAGCTTGAACATCTGGAAGTTCATGGTTCATGTATTGCTGAAGCCTGGCTTGGAGAATTTTAAGCATTACTTTACTAGCATGTGAGATGAGTGCAATTATGCGGCAGTTTGAGCATTCTTTGGCATTGCCTTTCTTAGGGATTGGAATGAAAACTGACGTTTTCCAGTCCTATGGCCACTGCTGAGTCTTCCAAACTTGCTGGCATATTGAGTGCAGCACTTTCACAGCATCATCTTTCAAGAGTTGAAATAGTTCAACTGGAAATCCATCACCTCCACTAGCTTTGTTCATAGTGATGCTTCCTAAGACCCACTTGACTTCACATTACAGGATGTCTGGCTCTAGGTGAGTGATCACACCATTGTGATTATCTGGGTTGTGAAGATCTTTTTTGTACAATTCTTCTGTGTATTCTTGCCACCTCTTCTTAATATCTTTTGCTTCTATTAGGTCCCTACCATTTCTGGCCTTTATCGAGCCCATCTTTTTTAGAGCCTCACAGTAACTGGGGACTCTAAATGATTTTAAGTCTCTCCAGTGAAAGAACTGTCTTCTATATTTGTGTCTCCTCTAACTCTTAACATTGGACTTGTCATATACTAAGATAACTTAATGAATACTTACTAACTGCGTGACTCCACAAATGAATTAGTTAAGAAACTGTAAGAACAAGAGGCTTTTCCTCCTCCTCCCCCGCCCGCCCTCGGCCGGCCTGCCTGCTTCACTGAGCCAGACCTCTGCCCGCTTTGGGAGTCCCTGTGTGTGTTTCTTTCAAGGAGTAATTTACTAACATACACATAGCCAGAAACCATGCCTTACTCCTGACTCAAAAACTTTAGTTGGCAATAACTTAAGAAATAATCTAAATAAAGGGGAGAAAAAAAATAAAACAGTAGACAAAATGATACAGCATTATTTATAATAACAACAACAAAAAAAATAACAACCTAGACATTCAATAGCCTACTTCACCCTTTAAAAATTTTAATTATGTAGCCCAGAATAACATATAAAAACACTTATGAGAAGTATCAAGGAAAAAGAGCTTAAAACAAAACTATCTATGTAATTATGATAACCATAAAAATAAAAGATGTAAACTCAAGAGGCAAAAAAACAGTATGATATGTTACAGAGGTAGAACTAAGAATAGAAGAGAGCCCAGTTTAGCTTCTGGGAAATGTGTAATGAATATTATTTTACAAAAATATTAAATACATAAGACTGTGTGTTATTTTAAGTAGACTAACACTTTAAAAAATTGGTTTGGTACAATGCTTACTATCAAAAAAAACCTTAACAGTAAACTTTTAAACTTAGAAACTTAATAGCAAACACCTACTAAATAATGTTAAATTAAGAAATCTATGAGATAAATATCATGCAAATAATCTTCCATTAGAAAAGCTGTCTTCCAGAAAATGAAAAACATGTAAATTTTAAATACATTTATATAAAGCAAAAGTAAACTAAAACTAAGAAGGACACATAACTTAACCTGGAAAACACAGTATGTACAAGTTTTACACAATAGAGCCCTTCCAAAGCCAATGCAGTTCAAAGTAGAACAACATTTAGAGTGAGCTCTCTGAGTATGCACATCCTGACAATGAAAAGGTGCTTTTCAGTTTACTCCAAAACTGTATTTTCGTATTACCTTACCCTTGCTATTAGTCCAGATTCTGCAACACACTGCTCTTCCGGGACTGCCACTGGCTTACTTTGCTCAGTTGCAAAGGGTTGGTCGGCTCCATTTTTATAGTGGTTTGATAATGGTATCTTTGGTTCTAACCATTCGATTGTCGTTCCTGATGAAGTAAGAGAAAACTTTCGCTGAAACTTACTCATAATCTGGAAAGTTCAGCAAATGTGGATTTTATTAAACGATTTTGTTTTGCATCTACAAGACTAAAAGCAATTCAGCCTGTTAAGAGACTCTGCAAGACAGCGACTTGTATCTCATTAGCATGAGCATGACGATTGGTTATTTTACAACAGAGCAACCTGCAACTTGAAATCAAATACCACTTAAGTGAATCAACCCTGAATAGGAGTGAACTCACTTCCTGGGCAAATCTGTGAATCATTAAGTGTATTCTCACCCCAATAGTTAACCTTTCTGCATGAATCTTGACCCTCTAGTGATAAGTACTATGCAGTTGAGACTTGAGGGAATCACAATTATAGGAACTGCTGGGGATTGTGAAACAGTAAAATCTACTTCAATTTGGGGTTGATCCTTATTCTCAGTACCAATTTTCTAACCAATCAAGATCATTCCACAATCTAATTTAAGAATTGCAGATGTATGTCCATTATGTTTTTTTTTTCCAATCATATAAAAAGGCTCCATATACTTTTAAACTGAAAGGTTCTTCTACTGAATAAATAATAGCTGACCTAATGAAAGACAGTGGTCACATTTAGAGACTTGTCATCTTCTCAGTTAATGACTCAAATGTCTCTTATTACCCTCAACTAGTTTAACAAAGTGGATTCTATGCCTAATCAATAATGGAAAATGTTCCATTTGATTTCAGAGGCTGATCTAGGTTTCACAGAAGCTTGGTTATACAGTGTTACATTAAAGGATACTCAGACTACTATACCAAAAATTTAAAAGGAGTATGGAATTTACTTAGTCTAAAACAAAATCCTACACTTCAGTAGAGGAATAAATTACAAAGTATCTATGAGGCTACCAGAGCATCTTGTCTTGGTACTTAGTTTGGATTCACTGAGGGGGATTCACAATGGGGGAATGCCCTGGATAAGTTCATGGGGCCTGTTTCAAAATTTCAAAGAAATGAAAGCTCTTTGTTCCTACCTTGATATGTTTATTTTTAATATCAGCATCTAGATTCCCTTACTTCTTGAAATAGGATGCACATAAACACTGAATTTAAGAGATTTAAGAGATTATTCACAGGTAAATCATAACAAAATTCTTTATCAAACAAATAGTCTGGTCTCAGGGTCCTTCTAAATCAGTTCTTTCTAAAATATCTTTCTTTCACAAGCAAGAGGAGTTCATTGAATAAGAAAACAATGAGTGTTGGGAAATACTAAGTTACTACTATTAATTCATTGTGATGGAGTTGGGGAAATTGGGGTGATGTTGTTCAAGGGTACAGACCTGCAACTAGAAGATGAATAAGTCCTGGAGATCTAATATACAGCACAGTGAATAGAGTCAACAGTTCTACGGTAAATATTTCAAAGTGCTAAGAGACTAGATCCTAAATGTTCTCATTACAGAATAGGGAATTCCTTAGTTCCAAAGGGGCAGAGAAAAAAAGAAATGACAATTATGTGATATGATTGGAACATTAGTTAACACTTTAGTGGCATATAAATATATAAATGTATTAAATCAACACTTTAAACTTGCATGTCAATTATATACAATGTCATTTTATATGTACTGTATGTCAGTTATATCTCAATTTTTAAATGAGTTTATTAATCTCATTTAATAGAAAATTTCATTTTTTGTTATACAATAACAAATAATGCAATAACATTGTTTTCTCCAATAAATTAATTTCAACAAATAGGTGCTCTCGAATACTAGATGTATATCTTATTTTTCAAACTGAAAGGTGACTGGTAGACTTTTATATATATGTATCTCAATATGGAAATAGTGAATAGTGGACTAAAGCAACCAAGGAATGATTCCAATGTTTCTACTTTGATTGACTGGATAGAGTAATGCCATCAACTTCAACAGAAATACAGAAGACATGAATTTTTAATTCAGTTTTTGACAAGTTTAATTTGAGGTCTCTAAAGGAATATTTAATTATATGAGACCTAAAATGGTTTTAGATTTGAAAAAGGACACAGTACAAGAGACTTTGTGTAACATTAGTACGATAATAAAAACCAAGAGGCTAGCTGGTTTTCTATTTGTCTTGTTTGATTAAGATTTTCTTGAGCAGAATTACAAAGAATGCAGTTATTATTTCCATGTTTTGACCTGTAACGTTCAGTCCCACCTTAAAGCAATAACTTACCTGAAGGCAATGAGCCCTTCTGATGTGATGCATGCTGTAACTGGAGAATATGAAAGCAGTCATTTAAGCAGTTCATAGTTGCCATGGAAGTAGCCTTGAGCATTAAGAGATCCTGGTCCAAGGAACTAAGATGGCCAGAAGCAGGAAGGCATTCAATTCCTCTAATTAAGTCTCTTTGTTGTCCTTCAGCATGAGACATCATCTAAGGAAAATAACAGTTCCATGTTTCTCACTCAATCTCTGTATAGCATGTATACATAGAGTTGCCACTTTAATCACCATATTCTGTATAACATGTAACATACAATTGTCATTTTTAGGATATATTCAGCCTAGAAATCTATTTTAAATTTGTTTGGCTATTCCCAATAAGCATTTAATAGTGCTACTCAAAAGATGATAACACATAAGTAAATCTCCAACATATATTGACTAAAAAGAAGCCATACCCAGAGAAGCACATATTTCATTCAGTTCAGAAATTTCAAACACAGGCACAATAAATCTTTGGTTTATAGGTGAGGAAACCCCTACACATTAGAAGTCAGGATAGTGAAGAGAGTATAATGATGACGAGGCATGAGAGGGTCCTCTAGGGTACTAGTAATATTTAATTTTTTGATCCAGGAGGTAATTACATTAAAATTACAAGATGCACACTTATATATCAGGTTCTTTTATACAAGGATACATGCTTAGAAGGTTAATTAAGAACTGGGATGGAGACCAAGGGAAGGGGGCCAAACAGATCCATTAGGTTTACCACTGGTCTAATGAAAAGAACTTCCATGATTAATTAAACAGAACAGAAAGCCAGATAAGAAATAATAGACAAAATTCTACAATTAGTTGATACATAAGCCCCAGATTTTCAGAGACAATCCCCATTCATGCTTAGAGTCCTGCTGTAATTATGTCTAAACTGTTACAACTTGAAGGCCAAGTTATATACTTACCCTATTTCTTCATTTTACAAGAACTTCTTGGCATGAAATTAGAAATGGGATGTTTATATTATGCCTCTTTTGCATCTCCCACTGGTCTAGGGGTCCAAACTATAATTGCTCTTCTCCTCTGCTTCTAGCAATGTTATAAGCAAATACTAAGTTTTATACTTGTCAGATTTCTTAAACAAGTCACAAGTGCTAGTAATGCTAAGGGAAAAAATTACTACTCAAGTATATCTGAACTAAGATGAATTTATTACTTTCCAGGCAAGGGAAAATCATCCTTCCAGAACAAATCAAACAGCTAATCTTATGTAAACTTCTTGGGGACATACAACATTCAAGGATGGGTTGACTTTACAACAAAAGTAATAGCATGGAGGAAGTATAGACTTTAGGGACTGTCTAACATTCGGAAGGAAGCATATTGAAACAGAGTTGTTAATGATTGAAGTGAGTTGGTTAAATAGGCTCTGCATTACTTGCTAATACATTCAATCTAGAGCCAAACAAGAGATTATTTTTCACTTTCTTTTTTGAACTCAAGAGAATACAACTTCTTATTCTCACAACAAGAAACACATTTGAAAAACTGGACATTCAAATTTAAAAAACACCTATTCACTTGAATACACTCTTCAGAGAACACAAAGGAAAAAAGGATGTACATTTATGATCTGCATACTTTTCTATATTATGTTATAAGCCAATAAAAGTTTAATAAAGGAAAAAATCATAAGCAGGATATTGACAATATGAATAATCAACTCTCACAATATAACATTTAAGAGAAGAAAAGTGTTTCTTTGTACAAATGGTCCCCAAAAGCCACTTGCTAGTGTTGATATTATAAGTGAAGAGGCCTAAGGACTTCCCTAGAGGTCCAGTGATTAAGAATCAGCCAGCCAATGCAGGAGACATGGGTTCGATCCCTGGTCTGCAAAGATTCCACATACTGCAAAGCAACTAAGCCTTGCACAACTACTGAGTCAGCTCTAGGGCTCTCAAGCCATTAAGCCTGCATGCTATAACCACTGAAGCCCATGCTCTGCAACAAGAAAAGCTACCACAATGAGAAGCTCCCACACAATTAGAGAGGAGTCCCCGTCTTCACAATTAGAGAAAGCCTGCAGGCAGCAATGAAGACCCAGCACAACCAAAAAATTAAACAAATTATTAAAAAAATTAAAATAAAAAAGTGAAGAGGCTTTAGAAAGTGATGCTCTTGACTGGAAAAAAATAAACTTTATAATTAGAACACAAATGTTAAAATCTGAAAATTCCTTGGTGGTCCATTGATTAGGACTCTGTGCTTCCACTACAAGGGGTACCAGTTGGACCCCAGAAGCTGCATGGCATGCCCCCCTCCTCCCGCCAAATAATAAAATTTGGTTATGTTTCTTTCCAAAGCAAACAAATGGGCTGACCATATATTTACAATGAAATAGAACTGATTCTGTGAAGCTGTTTTAGTGACTGTTCCTGACATTAGTAAAACCGGTTCCTTAAGAATGAAAAACCATCATGAAAGCTGAAAACTTGCTTAATCTGTGTTTTGCAGCTAGGTATGACAAATACGGTGATAATGAACATCACTTATGTGGCATCTAGTTTGTCTGAAAATCAGATGAGAATCATGATTTTATCACTTGTATTTTAAATGTTTCTCCCCTACTAGACTGGTGATAGCTTCTCCCAAGGCACAGCATAGTAACCTACATGAAGCATGCACTGATTAATGGAGTGATTGATGAATTGTAAATTAGTAATTAATTGTAATTAGTAAATACTAAAATAGATCACTTTAACACTTAAGTAACAAATCCACAGACCCACAATATGACTTGATTTTCAACAGTCAGTTGCTTTTGCCAACTGTTACTTCATTTATTGCTAGACTTACTCATGGACTTTGATTAAAATACTCCTTTCAAACTCACTTTGAATTACATCTTTGCATTATAACCAACTGGAGCTAGATCACTCTAGAATAGCAGTTCTCAAACAGTGCTCTCCAGATTCTTATGGGGCTCTTTTCAGGGGGTCTATGGAGTCAAGATTATTTTCACAATAATTCTAGGAAATTAATTTGCCTTCTTCACTTGATGGCATTTGCACTGATGGTGCAAAAGCAATGGTGGGTAAAACTGCTGGTGTCTTAGAATCAAGGCAGTTGATACAACAGTGTCATGGCTGTATTCTTCACTGCCATGCACTCAAGGAGTAGGCATTGGGGACTAGGGAAAAGACAGCCAATTTTATTTAAGAATATTTTTGAAAAATCAGTAAAAATTATTAGTTTTACTATATCTCAACTGTTGAGTAAACATATTTAAAATTGTCTATATGAAAAATGAGAAGCACACTTCTGTTGTATATATATGTATATATGTATATATATAAAAGTACACTGCTGTTGCATGCCAAAGCACTGTGGTTGCCCAAGGAAAAGCATTTGTGAGACTGAGTTACAGGTAGAACTAGCAGTTTATTTTCACAGATCACCACCTGATGTGAAAGAACATGATACATATTGGTTGTTCAGAAACACATGTGACAACCTGGACTTGGGAATGGCATCTGAAATGAGGGCAGTGGGATCTGATACTATCTCAGCTAAATGGTGTCAGAACTGAATTAAATTGTAGAACACCTAGCTGGAGTCTGCCAAGAATCAGAGAATTACCTAGTGTGAAGGAAACCCCCATACATTTGGTGATTGGAGTACAGAAGTATGGGGTGTTATAGTAGAATAGAGGAGAAACACAAGAGTGCTGTTTTTCCCTGACAGAATGATTGCTAATAACTAAAGCTCTTCAGGCTTGGGAGTATGTGGTAGACATCTTTTCAAAATTAAAGAGAATGATTTGTCACTTCAAGAAAAACAACCGACAGTATTTGTTGCCAATTATAAAATCTGAGCTTTAAAATCAAATTACAATTTTGGAAAACCTGTATCAGTCACCATAAGCTTGGCAGTTTCCCAATATTGAAAGCCTTTTCTGATGAAGTTGGTACGGATGTTAATAAACGTGAATTTTTGATATTGTATACCAATATCTGTAATGGCTGCCTAACTCTGAACTAACATTTTCCAAATGACTAATGCAGTGTTACAAAATCATGCATAAGTTAAAGATCCACTCAAAGTGCAAGGCAAACCAATTATTTTCATGAAACAGAAACATGAAGAGTTCACTGATATATATTAGATTCCACACTGCATCTAACACTTAAGAAACTGCCACTGTCCAGTTTTACTGGAGTATCAAAGAAGAGCCACATTTACCTTAAAAAGCTGTTTTAAAACATTTCTCTTTTTTTTCCCAACCACAAAGTTTTTTTTCATATAGTTCAACTAAAACTACATATTTGCAATAAATTGAGTGTAATTATTTTGTTTGGGGGGAAAAATAGCTGTTTGACATAAAAATATGTTATCTATGTTAACATATATGAATTTATTAATTTTTATTTTAAAATAATAAAACATCTAAAGTTTAAAAGTAAATTTTAAAAACAAGCATTTTAAAAATACCTGTTTCAATTTCTAATAAGGTAAATATTGGTAAATTTAACCTATGTAAAGCAAAAATTCTGAGGTCCTCAATAATTTTTAAGAGTGAAACAGATACCAAGACCACAAAAAGCTTGAGAATGCCTACCAGGAACCACAGTCAGTATGTTAACAAAAGTTCTCTCAATGTCTTTGAAAAGAAAAAGGATTTACATAGTCTCAAAGAAACTCCCCAGATATTTATTAACTACAGAGGAAAAGACAGCAACTTTACAGTGGAGAAAAGCTATTTTAACCAAGCAGAAGCTACCTTAACCATGTGATCAAGGTGAACATCACCAGTAATATGACATACTGATATCATGAACTCCTTGATATCAATTCAGTTCAGTTGCTCAGTTGTGTTGACTCTTTGCAACCCCATGAATCGCAGCACGCCAGGCCTTCCTGTCCATCACCAACTCCCGGAGTCTACTCCTTGATATAGGTACTGACAACACATATCTTCAAGGGTATCTTTCCCAGAAATGTATAATTTCACTCAAATAATAAGAAAATATCAGACAAATGCAAATCTGGGAACATTAAACAAAACTGGATCTTCATAGGTATCAATGCCAGGAAAGATAAAGACTGAGCAACAATTACAGACAGAAGGAGACTAAGTAGTAATAATAACAATTAAATGCATCATTTTAGGACAGGATCCTAAAACAGAAAAAAGAATGTTACTGGAAACACTACTAAAATTTGAATAAGAACTATAGTTAACAGTATTATAGTTATATAATTTCCTGGTTTTGATACTGTTATGAAAGATAGTAACATTGCAGAAAGTTGGGTGAGGGATACACATAGAAATCCTGCATTACTCTTGCAACTTTTCTGTAAATTTAAAATTACTGCAAAATAAGAAGCTTTTTTCTTAGCAGGGGGAGGCTGTGCTGGGTCTTTGCTGCTGTTTGGGCTTTTCTCTGGTTGCGGCGAGCAGGGGCTACTCTCTAGTTTCCGTGCACGGGGTTCTCACTGCTGTGGCTTCTCTTTTTGTCACTCAGGCTCTAGAGTGAGTGGGTTTCACTGTGCTCAGTAGTGGCTCCCAGGCTCTAACTAGAGCAAAGGCTTAGTTGCTTCACAGCATGTGGGATCTTCCCAAATCAGGGATCGAATTTGTATCTCCTACACTAGCAGGCAGATTCTTTACCACTGAGACACCAGGGAAGCCCCCAAATAAGAAGCTTCTAAAGTGTTCTCAGCTTGTGAAAACTGTTAGCTTTTGTTTTACCTTAACACAAATCTTTTCAGTCATTGTCTTGGATTAAAAAAAAGGCTCAGAAACTTTCTGTGGACCATGCTTTCATAAAGCATTTAGAGCTCCCACAATGAAATACATCCAAGCCACAAAACTGAAACAAGATTCTTTAATGCATGGCATCATAAGCAAAGTTAGAAAACAATACGCATCTACAGACCAGATTGTGGTAATTTTAAATAAAAGGAAATAAGCTAACTTTTAAAGGAAAACATAGTTCCAGAGAACTCTCCAAATGCATTATTTCCTCACAAATAGAATTATTACATTGGAATACAGAAATGTTCCTAATAGAACATTTACATAAAATGTTAGAAATCAAATAACTATAATTTTATATATAACTATAATTATATAATTATAATTATAATTTTATAATTTTGACCTACTGAGTTCTTAAAAGCAAAAACATAAACTTAATGAAGACAAAGACACTCAACTAAAACTTTTTTGCAGGTGGCACTGGCAGAGACTGCCAAACAATGGTCAACACTCAAATCCTAGAATAATTACTGGTGCCATAATTCAAGAAGGCTGCCATTAAATTAGTGAGCTATATAAGTAAATACTTATCCTTCCTAAAGAGGTAGCTGCGAAACTTCGGGGACACACACATACACTCTACATACAAGTGTCAGAGTTATATGCTAAATATTAACATGCTGTCACAATAATATGAAAGGGTATATTTAAAGTCCAGAAAATTACAGTGTGGATATTGCAAGAAATTACCCCTGGGTGTGAGAATAACAAAAGAACCATTAGAGCAGGAAAGAGAAGATTAGGGGATTAAAGTCACAGTAGAAAAGAAGCTAAGAGAGATATGAGTGTTCTCAGTACAGCAGGTCATAAAGATCCAAGCACAACCAAGCAGAAGCCTCCAAAGATGGTTAAAATCTCAAATACAAAAAGGTTCCTTTTTCATCGAAAATGTACACAATTCATGGCAATTTCAACTACATGCTTTTTGCTTGTTTTTAACCTTTTACTGAAGTATACAGACTGACATATAATATTACAGATAGGGAAGTACACTTAACAGTATATAGGCTTGACAAATTTTCATAAACCAAACACATCATGTAACCAACACACAGATCAAGAAACAGAATGCTACCAGCACTCTGAAGAACCCTCAAGCTCCCATCACCAGCCATGATCCAAGAGTTCCAAAATTTCATGATAGCCTAATTTTTAGGGGTGAAGGAACACACCATGATACAAGCATATTCCTAGATGTTTTTCTTTATTCCATCCCTTATTATCTTAACCACTTTTAATATTTCCATTTCCTTCACTGTAGATTAATATATCAGAACCTTGATTTCCTAAAGATATAAACACCTATCAACAGATTGAATACCATCAATATAAATACTAAAAATTATTATTTTATTAAAAAAGGTATTTGTAATTGTCATTTTTAACATGATTAAAAAGTAAGTCAAAAGCTATTACTCATCTCAAGCAAATTATTTTACCTCTTGAAACCTCAATTTCTTCACTTATAAATACAACCCAAAATAACCTGATAGAGGGAACATTCTCCCCAGCTTCCTGCCTTAAATCATTTGGGTGTGATTTTATAATATTATTTTCACAATCCACTACATAGGTATCTATGAGCTCTACCAAAATTAACTCAGTAAACAACACCTGGATTATTAACCTAACTGCATTCTTTATTAACTAGAATTATTTGGTACTTAGTTTCAAAGAGAAAAAGGAAAATGGTGAGATAAAGGAACATCAAGGATTTAACTATTCTATTTTCGTGTGTTTGAAATTCTCTATTTACATGTATCGGTAAACAAAAAGTCACTTGTTTGATCACACAGTCTTTCCACTAAGCTTAATAACCCTTTTATCATAAATTTTACATTAAAGGAATCTATACTTTCTCTTGAGAAATAAAAGATACAGATTTTTGAAACATGACAGTGTGCACAGAACCTAGCTCACAGACTTGAGGAAACTTACAACACCTAAAAAATCAGGGAATTGTTATGACTTAAACATTGAGGACCCCAGAAGACACAAACAGGATTTAAATTTTGGGGGGACAAATCAAACTGGTAATATTATTTTATGCATTTTAACTTGATTTCAATTCATACTTACTTCTCTGACTTCCACAAGATGGTCTGGAGGTAAGTTAGCTCTTTTGCTCACTGATTGTAGTTTGGAATGTCCAACATTAAAAAAGGAAATGGTATTTTGACTTGGCCTCCTCTGGGATATAGGAGAATTACCACTAGATGCAAGTGAGAAGCTCCGTGATTTCAGAGGAGGATTATTCTATTAGACAAAGAAAATAATTCCTTTTTTAAAATTTAGGTAAACTCTCAACCTATAATATACTGGAGGCTTACACACAAACAGTTTTAAAAATAAAGTTAACCTCAGAATTAACTACAAGAATAGTTCTGAAGATGGAAAAATTTAAGACCTTCAAAGTCTAAGAATTTCACACATCCCATAGTAAACTGGTAATTTATTCAGAAAATTAATTCCAGGTGTGTGCTGTCAAGAATTCTTTTTTTACATTAGACATATATTAGAATAACAAGAAATTTCTAATTTTAGATATTTAAACATCATGATTGAAGCAAAAAATATATTCAGCAATACTCAATATAGTAATTTTTCTAGTGTAACATTCAAGTATCTTTGAAACAAACTAGCACTTTCTGGTCACTGCCAACGATTAGAATCTTGCAGCAAGAATAAAGTTTTTTGCTGGATTTCTTAAAGACTGCAGGCCTAAATCACAACTTTAAAAAAGTTAGCTATGGGGAAAGAACACTAGGAAGAAGACAAAAAAGTTGGTATGGAAATCCTTTAACTCTGCTTCCCACATATTCATTTTTAGACATTTCTGACCTCAGATTTCAAGTACTAAGACCCTCTTTCTCATCTTAAAAAAGAAAACACTCCAAATGAGATACAGAAATTATAAGCACATGAAAAGCCATTCAACCTTATTAGCCATTAGAGAAATGAAATCAAAACCACAATGAAATTCTACTTCATAACCATGAGGATGGCCATAGTAATTGTAAAAAAGGACAGTAACAGTATCGATAAGAATGTGGAGAAACTGGAACCTTTGTGCATTACTGGTGAGAATGGGAAATAATTTGGCCAATTTCAAAAACAGTTTGGCAGTTCCTCAATAGTTAAACAGACAACTACCATAAAACCCAGTAATTCTACTCCTAGGAATAACCTAGAAAACTGAAATCATGTGTTCATACAAAAATTTGAACACAAATGTTCATAGAAGTATTATTCATAACAGCTACAACATGTAAGCAATCCACATGCCTATCAGCTGATACATGAATAAACATAATGTGGTATAACCATAAAAGAGAATTATTCAGTCTTAAAAAGGAATAAAGTATGATCCATGAAATGACATGGATGAACCTTTAAAATGTTATGCTTATTATAAGAAGCCAGACAAAAACAAACAAACAAACACCACATACTGTATGATTCCATTTACATCAAATGCCCAGAATAGACAAATCTATTGAAACAGAAATTACAGGTTAGTGTTTGCCAGGGGACTGAGAAGAGAGATTTGAATAGGGAGTGACTGTTAAACAGATACGGGTTTTTTGGAAGGTGATGAAAATGTTCAGGAATTAGATAGTTGCAACAGCTACATAATCTTATGACTATACTAATAAAAACCATGAAATTGTACACTTTAAAAGGATCAATTTTATGGTATGTGAATCTCAATTTTAAAATGCAAAAAAATAAAGTTAAAAAGATCTTTCCCCATTTCTGTGCATTAATATCATACATGAATCCACATACCTTGCCAATAGCTTCAGTGTGGTGTTGTGTACATATCTGAAGTCTGCTAACCCAATGTTGTCGCTCTTTAGCATCTGTGGCTGATAAAAAGTATCTACAAGTTACTTACTTTTTCATTTATTTTTAGAATACAATTAATTGTCTATAGCATGAAGAACAGATCACTGAAAATCAGGGCATTTTCCTAGCCTCCCTGACCAGAGCGAGGTTGGAAAAAGGCCAAAGCATCAACCTTGTTAGGTAACACCATAGCTGGATGTGGATATTTCCTAAGGAGGATAAATTACATACAGCTAGATGGGTATATGGAACTTGACATGTCTTAACTTTCTCTTAAAGATATGCTCTTCTTCAAATAAATACCCTTTATTAAGCACTTGGTATGTACTCAATATATTCTTTCAGATCTCTAGCATGATCAATTAGGATTAACATCATACTTTATGTGTATTAATTAAAAATAGAAACCTCTATACAAATTAAATTCATCTAAAAAAAGTTATACCTGAATACAAGCATTTTCATAAATCCCAACTATGTACTTTAATCATCAAAAAACACAAAGAGAACATAACTAAATCAAGAAAGGAAGTAAAATACAAATCTGTGGAAGACAAAAAAATTTTAAACTAGTCTATGTTTTTAGATTTCTCAGTATTTCATCTATACAAATTTCTTATAGAGGGTCAATTTTAAACAGACTTGCTTACTGTGCAACTTAAAAGTCATTAATTAAAACAGATCTCATAAATCCTTAAAACAATTCCAAGGTGTAGAATACTGTTTCTGTATCATCAGTGATAGCAGTTTCTATTTCCAAAACCTGAACGAAAGAAGGGAAGTATACCAACTTCTCAAGGAAGAAGAAAATCACACTATTAATTCTCATATTTCAGTCATACCTCTGAGTTTATACTGTTCCCCACTGGCAGCATTTACAGTGAAGGTATGAGAGTCCTCATCACTGGGCGATATTACAGCTCCTGCAAGCTGCAAAGTACCTCTGGGTTTTTGATTTCTAGACTGTTCATTCACAAAATACTCCAACAGCCCAGCTTCATTGTTTAGAACAAAAAACCTGCAATGATTTTAAAAAAGGTCATACTTTTAAAGTATTTCCCCTAGTCAAACTAAAGCAATCCAAACTTTAATCACATACTTTTGAGTTTTTGCTATTAAAAAAATAAAATTCAAAAGCATCTCAAGAAGTACTTAGAAACACTAGACTGAATTTCCTAGTAGTAAATGTTACTGAAGAATTGAATGAGTTTAATAAAAGATATAGAATCTTCAGCTGTGAAAGAGGCATTTAATAGGGAAGAGGCATACAAGACAATGCAGAAAGGAAACAAAGACACAGTATCCTTCAGAGGAAGATTTCCCTCCAGAATTCATTAACAGGGAGGGTTAAGTTCCCATAGACAAATGGTAGGGAGAGTTTTTATTTAAAATTCACTGGGAATAAATCAAAGCATGAGCTCCAGAATTAACAAATACTAGGTAAGAAATGAATATGATTTAAGATTTAACCAGTGAAATAAACAATATGAATAATGCCAAAGTAGCAAGACTTTGTGAACATATTATTAAACAGGTCACAACTAAAGATTACTTATCCTGTTTAAAAATGAAAAGGCTGCAACTGGAGATGCAGAACCATAAGGAACTTGAAACTAAATGATGAAATAATGATACACGTTGGAAAAGAGTTTGATGTTCTGATTTGGTTTTAGATTAACTACTTTGGGAAATATATTAACTTGGATTCCAATTTAAGTAGTATCTTTTCTTTAGGAAAAAAACTAAAACGTTTCTATTCCAAAAAATTAATGTTTGGGTTTAGAGCAATTTGGTATTCTACATGTTAATGTATTCTGTAATACATCCAGACAGACAATTTGATCCAGTTCAAATCTAGTTCTAGTATCCTAGAAGATACTGTCTTAAGCAACCTGGCAATTATATCAATCATACCAAACTGGGAGGGAATGTAATCAGCCTTTTATTAAGGGAAAGAAAAAGAAATAATGAGAAGCAAATAAGAGAAGTTGAAAGCAGCTATCTGAAAAGGAAGCTGGGAAAGCAAGACTATTGTTTTTCTCATTCATCTTTTAGCATGCGTCTGACTCTTAAACGGGCTTCCCTGGTGGTTCAAACAGTAAAGAATCTGAACAAGCAGACAAACAAGAAACAAAGAAAGGAATGAATGAAGGAAATAAGGAAAGAAATCTCTTTCTACTAGTCTAAGCAATATGCCCAATTATTTCAAACAAAGAAAAAAGACTGGTCTCTTCTAAGAAGTCAATTCAAAGAAAATTCAGAGAACAATGTTGGAAATCTCAAGTTACTGGGAACATATATTTCTTATCCCAAAAGCATTACCACAAATCTACAACATGGGAAGCACTCACCTAGATATACAAAATACTGAGGAGGAACTGGCAAAATGATAGAATTGGGTCAATAACTGACTACCTAATACCAAGATGATGCTATGGACCCAGTGGCACCAATAACGCACTGTAGGCTGTCTTTCATCATACATGAATTAACCCAAATGTTCTTCATTCACACTTTCTCTGGAGATGTACAAGATGTGCAGATTGGAGATAGAAAGACAATTCACATAATAAGGAAAATGAAAGCTATTTTGCCCAGAAGGGGACTAGACTCTTGATTATAGTATTCTTAGCAAGCTGGTCTAACCTAGAAGCTAAAGAAATACAGAAAAAAAAACATTAAGATTCAGCATCTATCTTTATATGCTGAAAAGTCATCACATTGTTAAAACGAAAAATTAATTATTTATTTTGTGCAATTTCAAAATAAAGACTACAAGTTTGAGAAAATGACTTATCTTCAGAATAGCTGACAACTTAAAATGAAGTATTTTGGAATGGAACTTTAAAAAATATTCTGACTTGGAAGTATGTCTTATGATAGCAAAGATCAACTTCAGGGAAGATTTTGGATGGAAAGCACATATATGCTTTGTGCTGACCATTCTAGGCTTTAGTGCTGAGCATGTACAGAACTTCTAAGTAGGAAGTAGGAAGAAATCTCCTCTTCATGAATGCTAATTGAAAGTGAAAGGAAGCACATTCAAGAGAGGGTCTTGCTCTTTCCAAGGGCACCACATTTCAAAACAAGCAGTTTATTATATACAGAGTATGCTCATCCTGGATTTCTCCAAGCTTCTCTAAGTTGCCCTTAGTCAAACAGAAATAGATTGCCAGCAAATCACCTTGAATACTTGGCACAGGTAGAGTGCTTTTGTGACTTAAGCTTTAGCCACAGCTCAGGGACCAAGTAGCTAGGCCTACCAAAGGAAGTGAGCTCTAAGCCTAAGTTCCTTTAACATGGTCTTAACCTTTCTGTAGGTATCCAATATGCTACTGGAGATCAGTGGAGAAATAACTCCAGAAAGAATGAAGGGATGGAGCCAAAGCAAAAACAATACCCAGTTGTGGATGTGATTGGTGATAGAGCAAGGTCCGATGCTGTAAACAGCAATATTGCATAGGAACCTAGAATAATTGGAAGTGGTCAAACAGGAAGTGGCAAGGATGAACGTTGACATTTTAGGAATCAGCAAACTAAGATGGACTGGAATGGGTGAATTTAACTCAGATGACCATCATATCTACTACTGTGGGCAGGAATCCCTTAGAAGAAATGGAGTAGCCATCATGGTCAACAAAAGAGTCCAAAATGCAGTACTTGGATGCAATCTCAAAAATGACAGAATGATCTCTGTTCGTTTCCAAGGCAAACCATTCAATATCACAGTAATCCAAGTCTATGCCCTGACTAGTAACACTGAAGAAGCTGAAGTTGAAAGGTTCTATGAAGACCTACAAGACCTTTTAGAACTAACACCCAGAAAAGATGTCCTTTTCATTATAGTGACTGAACCGCAAAAGTAGGAAGTCAGGAAATACCTAGAGTAACAGGCAAATTTGGCCTTGGAGTACAGAATGAAACAGGGCAAAGGCTAATAGAGTTTTGCCAAGAGAATGCACTGGTCATAGCAAATACCCTCTTCCAACAACACAAGAGAAGACTCTACACATGGACAACACCAGATGATGATGACTCAGTGATCATCAACACCGAAATCAGATTGATTATATTCTTTGCAGCCAAAGGTGGAGAAGATCTATACAGTCAGCAAAAACAAGACCAGGAGCTGTGGCTCAGATCATGAACTCCTTATTGCCAAATTCAGACTTAAATTGAAGAAAGTGGGAGAAACCACCAGATCATTCAGGTATGACCTAAATCAAATCCCTTATGATTATACAGTGGAAGTGTGAAATAGATTAAAGGGGCTAGATCTGATAGACAGAGTGGCTGATGAACTATGGATGGAGGTTTGTGACACTGTACAGGAGACAGGGATCAAGACCATCCCCAAGAAAAAGAAATGCAAAAAAGCAAAATGGCTGCCTGAGGAGGCCTTACAAATAGCTGTGAAAAGAAGAGAAATGAAAAACAAAGGAGAAAAGGAAAGATATACCCATTTGAATGTAGAGTTCCAAAGAATAGCAAGGAGAGCTAAGAAAGCCTTCCTCAGTGATCACTGCAATGAAATAGAGGAAAACAACAGAATGGGAAAGACTAGAGATCTCTTCGAGAAAATAAGAGACACCAAGGGAACATTTCATGCAAAGATGGGCTCAATAAAGGACAGAAATGGTATGGACCTAACAGAAGCAGAAGATATAAGAAGTGGCAAGAATACACAGAAGAACCATACAAAAAAGATCTTCACAACCCAGATAATCACAATGGTGTGATCACTCACCTAGAGCCAGACATCCTGAGATGTGAAGTCAAGAGGGCCTTAGGAAGTATCACTACAAACAAAGCTAGTGGACGTGATGGATTTCCAGTTAAGCTATTTCATATCCTACAAGATGAAACTGTGAAAGTACTACACTCAATATGCCAGCAAATTTGGAAAACTCAGCAGTGGCCACAGGACTGGAAAAGGTCAGTTTTCACTCCAATCCCAAAGAAATGCAATGCCAAAGAATGCTCTAACTACCGCACAATTGCACTCATCTCACACGCTAGTATAGTAATCCTCAAAATTCTTCAAGCCAGGCTTCAGCAATACGTGAACAATGAACTTCCAGTTGTTCAAGCTGGTTTTAGAAAAGGCAGAGGAACCAGAGATATCAAATTGCCAACATTCGCTGGATCATCGAAAAAGCAAGAGAGTTCCAAATAAACATTTCTGCTTTATTGACTATGCCAAAGCCTTTGACTGTGTGGATCACAATAAACTGTGGGAAATTCTGAAAGAGATGGGAATACGAGACCACCTGACCTGCCTCTTGAGAAATCTGTATGCAGGTCAGGAAACAACAGTTAGAACTAGACATGGAACAACAGACTGGTTCCAAAAAGGAAAAGGAGTACAACAAGGCTGTATATTGTCACCCTGCTTATTTAACTTACATGCAGAGTACATCATGAGAAACGCTGAGCTGGATGAAGCACAAGCTGGAATCAAGATTTCCAGGAGAAATATCAATAACCTCAGATATGCAGATGACACCACCCGTATGGCAGAAAGTGAAGAAGAACTAAAGAGGCTCTTGATGAAAGTGAAAGAAGAGAGTGAAAAAGTTGGCTGAAAGCTCAACATTCAGAAAACTAAGATCATGGCATCTAGTCCCATCACTTCATGGCAAATAGATGGGCAAACAGTGGCTGACTTTATTTTTTGGGGCTCCAAAATCACTGCAAATGGTGACTGCATCCATGAAATTAAAAGATGCTTACTCTTGGAAGGAAAGTTATGATCAACCTAGACAGCATATTAAAAAGCAGAGACATTACTTTGTCAACAAAGGTCTGTCTAGTCAAGGCTATGGTTTTTCCAGTGGTCATGTATGGATGTGACAGCTGGACTATAAAGAGGGCTGAGTGCAAAAGAATTGATGCTTTTGAACTGTGGTGTTGGAGAAGACTCTTGAGAGTCCCTTGGACTGCAAAGAGATCCAACCAGTCCATCCTATCGATCCTGGGTGTTCATTTGAAGGACTGATGTTAAAGCTGAAACTTCAGTATTTTGCCACCTGATGTGAAAAGCTGACTCATTTGAAAAGACCCTGATGCTGGGAAAGATTAAGGGCAGGAAGACAAGGGAATGACAGAGGATAAGATGGTTGGATGGCATCACCAACTCAATGGACATGAGCTTGGGTAAACTCTGAGAGTTGGTGACAGACAGGGAGGCCTCGCGTGCTGCAGTTCATGGGGTCGCAAAGAGTTGGACACGACTGAGAGACTGAACTGAATTGAACCTTTCTGTTCCTCTTATATCATTCAATCTGCAATTCATGCTGGTAACCCAGGATATCGCTGCTGTGCCACAAGCCTCCAGGCAGTCTGGCAGAAAAGGGAAATGAGCTTGCAGCAAACCAGTTGACAACCTGAGACCTCTCTGATGGGACAAACGGGTAAAAGGTTGTGTTCTCAGTGGCAAATGGGGATGGGCTGTAGTCATTCCCACACCTCCCTTGCTGCTAAAACTGGCCTTTAGGACAGCTAGAAGAATCATAAGGGCAGAAGCAGTGCCCTTCCCTATGCTAGAACTTTGCTTGGATCTCTTACCTAACTCCCTGGGCAACCAGTGGCCAATGGATCTTTTTAGTACGCTCCCCCACACAGGATACAAACACATGGCCCTTCTTCCCATGGCCTCAAGTCACCACTGACCTGAAATGCCATGTTTAACATATACTAAATCTTATATGCTTGGGTATACTTTGGAGCTTTCCTACTCTGTTCCACTTCTGAGAACTTCTCAGTAATATTCAATAATATAACATGAATGAAATTCGTTGAATGTCATGGGCGAGAAAAGTTAACCTATTTTCCTTTTTAAAAAGAGAACAAAAAGCAGTGCTAAAAGCAAAGGGATATAAAAATTTTTTTTATATTTTATATGTCATTTAAATGTATAAGCCTTCAAATAATTACATAAAAACTGAGGTGAGAAAATGCAAAATGAAAAGGCTCCCCTGACTTTGTTCTTTCTTAAAAAAAATAAAGGGTGGGAACCTTAGAGAACTACCCTTTTCACTTTAACAGGAAAGATTATCTTCTATAATTTCATATCCAGCTTTGACCTCTCATATGACTTCCAACTTCTAGCCTATCACTTTTATGTGAAAGCCCTACTGTTACTTCAGTTAAACATATCCCAAACTGTCTTCTCTTTTAGGCAATCACAAGTTCATTACAATGCTTCAACTATTTTTTGAATTCTGAAAAACATTCTTTCATATACTATGTACCATTTTCTAACTGTTTAAGGTAGAAAGGCAGAATCAGCTTATTATTCCATTTAACCAAAATAAGAGATCTCCAAATGACATGTGAATAAGCAGTATTTATAATGAAAATACCAACCTGGGAGTCAGAACTATTTGGGTTCAGATTCTAGCTTTATCACTTTTTTAAATGGTTTTAAAAAACCACAATGGGATAACACTCAATACCCATTAAGATGGCTATTATATACACACATACATAGACACAACAGAAAGTAACAAGTGTTGAGAAGATGTAGAGAAACTGGAATCCTTATACACTGTTGGTGGGAATGTAAAACAGTACTATGGAAAACAGTATGGAGATTCCCCCAAAAGTTAAACACAGAATTACAATGTGATTCAGTAATTCCACTTCTGGGTATATACACACACTAATGAGAGCAGTGACTCCGATATTATGTATACCAATGCTCACAGCAGCATTATTCACAATAGCCAGAAGATGGAAGCAACCCAAATGTCCACTGATTGATAACTGGATAAATAAATGTGGTACATACGTATAAGGGACTGTTTTTCAGCCCTCAAAAGGTAGAGAATTCTGACACACACTACATGGATGAACTTTGAGGACATTACACTAAATGAAATAAGCCAATCACAAAAGGACAAATATATGATTCCACTTATATAAGGTACCTGGAGTAATCGAATTCATAGAGACAGAGAGTAGAACTGTGGCTGCTTAAGGACTCAGGGGGAGAGGAAAATATGAAATTATTGTTTGATAGGTATAGTTTTAGTCTGAGAAAATGCAAAGAGTTCTGAGATGAATGGGGGTGATGGCTGCACAAAAATGTGAATGTATTTAATATCACTGAACTGCATATGAAAAAATATTTAGAATGGTAAATTTTATGTTATATTTTACCACAAAAAAAAAAAAAAAGTTTAGTCCCCTGCCCCACAAATATCAATTCCACAAAGTATTTAAGATAGTTGGCTATGCTACTTCTTGACTGCTTGTTTAACCTCAGGTTGGTTATTTAAACTTTTCAAGGTCCCAAAAGAGTTTAAGAATCCTCAACAACAAAAAGAAGCAAGAATCCTCAACAGGCACCTAACACAAATCTCTTTGCTGTCTCCAAACCATCCTAAAAGCCTAACCACTGGAAGTACACATAAGAAGCCCAAGGCGAGTTGATAAATGATACTAATCTTAACGTAACAGTAACTTCTGACGTATCTGGAGGCTGCAATTTGGACAATGTTAACTCCTCTTACCTCCTAAAAACAGAAAAAGAAAGTCATTAGACTTTTGGAAAACATGGTAAATCTTTCTCTAACATGTTTCCCAGCCATGTAATATCAGATTATAAAATTATCAGGCCCATTTCCGTTCTCTTGGCGGGGGCGGTGGAGGGTGGAGAGGAAGGGAGAGAGAGACAGAAGTGACAGGAGAATCACACTTACCTGTACTGCCACCCAGTGACAAGGTTGGTGTACTTCATTAGGTAGCCATACACATTTTCCATGTGGTCACTGTTTTAAAAAGATCAGAAAGTGCCAAAATCAGTGAAAATTAGAAGAAATTCCAGGAAGTTAACTGTACAGTTGAAAAAATAGCTGTAGAGACATACTTTTTTCTATAAATGTCTCAAGCTTACTTCAGAAGTAAAATTCATAGGTTAACAAATAGAGCTATTTATTTAATCTCCCATATTTCATATTCATAGGACTATATATTTTATCACAGTTCTTCAAAACAAATGTAATCAAATCATTGTGTATTTCAAACATAAAATCATTATATAAATATAAAATTACATAAATATGAAACAAATATACTATAAATATAAATAAAAGCATTTAATAACCTAATTCAATACTAAACAAAGACAACCCAGTTTTATGGTTCCAGAATAAACTAAAAAAAATCTCTAGGCTGAATAGTGCTTCCTCACTCTGGTGGGACACACATTATGTCTCTGAATCTTTGGGCTTCCAAAATGAAGATCCTGTTCTTGATGTCTGTGACACCTCACTCCCACTCCCCCATCCCAGACAGGCATGAGGCAAAGTGCTCACTGCAAATCTTGCCACTGGAAAGATTTATTTGGAACCTGTATCATTAGCCTTACTACTACTGAGTTTCTTTACTTCTGCCCCCCTTTTCTATTTAATAGATATATTCTGTTATAGTGGTTCACAGAAAATGCAGTATCTCACTACTTCTTTTCCAATATTTTAAGGTTCCCTATACTTATGAAAAGATATTAAAGCTACAACTACACTGATATATCTTTTTGACATACAGGCTTCATTTTTTATTTTGTAATTTACATTAAGAATTCCTTTTAAACTCATCTGAAGTTTTAACTTTACACTATAAAATGCAACTAATATTAAACATTTATTTTCTCTACTATCCCTGGATTGCAGAGCTTATTTGGTAAAAGTTCAGCTAACCAGCATTTAGGAAATGGAAAATATCAGATAACTTGACAACCTTTAAAACATGGACATCAAAAGTGAAATCAAGAGAGAGCTGACACAACCAACAGAACAGAATTTTTTAAAAGATTTAGGTTGATCTGAATGACAAATGAAAAGAGATGAAGATAAAGACACTCTCTCGCGTAAACACATAACAAAATGACTATAAGATTCTAGGAGTTTTTATTACTGGGGAGGATGCCTCAGGGAAAAACTCAGTGTTGGGTGCCTTTCCAACCTCATTTCTTCAGAGTGCTTGGAAATAAAGATCAAATCTGAAAGTAAAGAACTGATCCAAGTTCAAAAAATATATTACTATTTTTCTATATTTTTCTTCCATTCCAAGGTTAGCAAAAAACACCATTTTTTCCACTAACATTAAATGAAACTGCTCAAGCCCTTTTGGTTTTATAAGGTCAGTAATCTCAAGAAGGTAAAGGCTGTCAACTTCTAAAATGCCAACCCAAAGTTATGATAATTATATACGTACTGTCATGTTAAAATTAACAGTACCATTTGAATTCTCATTTCAGTATTTTCTAAAGCCCATATCTAGAGGAAGGATTCGTCTCTGAAAACTCAACCTGTTAGATTTTTGCCCTATTTCCATCCTTAGGTCACAGCAAAGGTACCTCTTTCAGTTACACTGGTACTTGAAAAGGCAGAGAGATACTCCTCTAGTCTGGGTCTCAAATTTTTCCCAGGCTTCAAACAGCTTTTTGGGGCCACAGGAGTCCCAATGCCCCTGGACTCTGCCCAAAAATAATTTCACAAAAAGTTCCTCGTCTGTTTTTGATATTTCACATATAGCTTAGCTGTCTTGAATAGTTCTCATCCTCAAAACTTATTCCTTCACTTAAATATGGAATCTAATAATGCCCCCCCACCAAAAAAAAAAACCCAAAACTCATAGATAGAAGAGATTAGTGGCTGCCAGAGGTGACAGGTGAACAAAATGGGTGAAGGTGATCAAAAGACACAAATTGCAGTTATAAAATAAGTAAGTCCTAGGGATGTTATTTATAGCATGGTGACTATAATTAATAATATTATACTGTGTATTTGAAAGTTGCTAAGTATAGATCTTAAAAGTTCTCATCATAAGAAAAAAAAGTGTAACTGTGTAGTGATAGATGTTAACTAGACTTGTGATCATTTTGCAACATACAAAAAAATCACTGTACACTTAAAAGTAATGTTACATGACAATTATATCCAAATTTTTAAAAAACCTTATTCTTTGCCTATTCTTGTGGCTTTAGAACCTCAATATTTATTTAATTACATCCTGTATCAACCCACAAGAAGACTAAAGTGTCACACAACCAGAATTAAATATTTCCCTAAAGTACCTAGATAGCCCATAATTCACCATTTTTTATTTTCCATTTTAATCTAGGTTCTCTACACCAAGCTTTCATTATTAAATAAGCATCATTTCATAGCTATTAGTATGCAGTAAAAATATTACAATTCAATTATAGTTCACTTCCTCTGGTTCTAGGATTACATATATTCTTCAAATGGATATATGAAATGTGCAGAAAATCTGTCTTAAAACTTCAAATTAACTATCCACAACTAAGAAAAACAAAACTTCATTTCAAAGCAATGAGGGCTCATGCTCCTTACCTTTGTTCAGTCCCTCATATTATTAAAGGTATTCCTTATTTGGGTCATAAGTTATTTATATTAGTCATTTAATGACTATCAATGAATTTTTTAGAGTATAATTTCAGTAGCACTGTTCACTAAACAACAACAGTTTATCTTCATACTGCATAGTAATGTTTTATGTTCAATTTTTAATGTTTTTAGTATTTTTGATTCTTGTATCTAAAAAGTGAACCTTCTCACAAAAATCACAATAGGGATACTGACATGGTTCATTTGGTAGCAGCATAAAGCCAACTTCAAAAGAAACAAATTCAAACATGCAATTATAAGCTGCTGGCCTGCTTTTACCACAGAAAACAGACATTTGAGGTTACAAAGAACCAACTTAAGAACATCCCATCCCTGAACAGCTGGTGACACTGTCCCTCCCTCATCCTTCCCCTTCTCTGTCAGTGCAACCAGCGGATGCGGAACCACTGTGCCATCTGGTGGCCCGCATAAAAAGCTCTGTGAGTGCAAGTCCTTTGTTCGCTCTCCTTTCTTCTCTCTACTTCCTTCTAATTGAGTTATTATGTAGTACCTCTAACATTCATGGTTTGCTCCCAATTAAAATATGTGCATTTAACCTGTTAATATGAATAAAACCTCGTAGTTAAAGTGGGAATATACCACATATTTGATTATAGCATACTAATATTTTTCCTATGAAGCAGAGATGATGGTCCAAAAGATTAATACACTGAAAAATAAGCAATAAAAAAGTTAATTTCTTCTTCAGTCCTTCAGCAACTCCACCCCTCAAATTGGGTACATTCTGATCTTGTTAACATTTTATTGAAATCAAGCTAGAAGCTGATAGGCTCTAAACACAGTTGATGAACTGAACTATATGTCAAGCAGCATTATTCTATTTAATTTGCTGTTCACCACCTCCTAAGTATCTTAATAATGATTGTTTCAACTTCTAATTCTCCATTATTACAACACAGATTTCTTAATTCTTCTTCATCAGACTTAAGGAAAACATGTAGAAGCTTCTAAATTAAGCTACTTTTTAAACAGTTTCAAATCCTTTTATTTCAGTTCAACACAATTGTTCAGTACCTTCTAAATATAAAGCACTCTGAAAATACACTGAAAAGGATAGGGAAATAAAGAAGGCTATACCTCTCCATCCCAAATTCATTACCAAATATAAGAAAAAGATCTTCTTGAAGAAAAAGACAATGACCCACAGCGACTCTGTTTTTAGCTGTCATGCAAATGAAAAGAATAGTTCGTTAAAGATACAGTATTCATTAAAAAAAGACACAGGATTCAATGGTGATTAGGTTGAAGTGGCAGGACTTATCAGATGTGGAATGAGAGTAAGAGTAAGACAGAGGGACAAAGGCAAAAACCCAGACTTCCAGCTAGCACTACTGTGTAGATATGAACACTTTCACTGAACTGGGGATCATAAAAGAAGTTTTGGGTTTGTTCCAAATTACCATGATGATTTTAAGGGACCCATGAGACATAACACAAGGAGATATCCAATAAGGTGGTAATGATTTGGATTGAACACACAGATTTTGGTGGTAATCAGCACATAAGCATATAACTGGTATTTGAAACCATAAGGGCAAATCACCTAGGAATTATATAAAATGACAAGGGGCAGGAGGTGGCAGGGGGGCTCAGGAGAGAGGGGAGATATGTATACCTATGGCTGATCCATGTTGAAGTATGGCAGAAACCAACACAATACTGTTAATTATCCTTCAATTAAAAATAAATACTTTTTTTTTAAATGACAAGAGAAGGGGCAGATTCTAAGAGAGAACTCTAGGGAAAAGTTTTAAAGGGAAGAGGAATACAGAGAGGAGATAAGAAGTGGCTGAATGGTAGGACGAAAACCAGGAGTATTTCAAGTAAGTTTTTGGTCAAGAATGTTAATACTATTTGAGGGTAAAAGAAGATGAAGATTGAGAAACTTCTATTAGATTTAACAACCAAGGGAAACAACCAAGGGAAACAACCAAGGGAAACCAAGGGTGGTCCAGTGGTTGGGAATCAGTGCCTTCACTTGTGTGGGCCTGAGTTCAATCCCTGATAAGGGAACTAGGATCCCAAAAGCCACGACACATGACCAAAAAAAAAGATTTAACAACCAAGAGATAATAATTCAATGTAATGATGAAGGCAGAGCTAGCTGGCAATGAACAGAAGAAAGACTGGGAGAAAGAAAAGTGGTTAAGGCAATGTGGGCTTGAGGCAGGGGCAGTTCAAAGTGCCTAATGGATAGGAAACAGTAAAGAGAAGGGCTTCCCTGGTGGCTTAGATGGTAAAGCGTCCGCCTGCAATGCAGGAGACCCGGGTTCAATCCTTGAGTCGGGAAGACCTTCTGGAGAAGGAAATGGCAGCCCACTCCAGTACTCTTGCCTGGA